AATATTTACCCCCACAGCTCCAACATGCAGGGGCTACAACGGCCAAAGTTCTACAAAAATAACTGATTTATTATTGCTAATATATTACTACCAGGACAGTGGAAATTGTGAACTTCTTACCAAACAATATAAAAAGCTACTTCATTTTAAGTTTCTACTGTAGCTCCCTCCTGCCCCAAAATCATCCTATCATTTTAGAAAGAGCTATTACACAGACATGCCTCGTTGGCATCCTTAAAGTTAATCATGGCCCGAAAGTCTTTGAAGCAATAACACAGGAGTACGGCATCCTGTTTTTCTTGTGGCTTGTTTTCTGTTCTGGAAAATCCAATTATCAAAACACAGAAAGCAAACACATAAACACTGAGTAGTAAACATTCACATTCATTAGTTAGGCTCACTCACTCTCCCAAGACACTAAAAATTGGATCCATTATTATCCCATCAGGTTTCCTAGGACCATCCATCTCCTCAACCAGTCTGAGATCCCGACTTCTATTTGCCACGGCTGGGACAGCTTTGGTTTTTACCCACACAGACTTGATTTTGGCCTTATTAACACCCACTATAACCTAATCTCTAGTTGAGGAAAGATAAAGTTGTGGGGATCAGAGAGTTAAGACCACCCTTGTCTTGTACATAACTATTAAAAAAGTAATATGCAAACTGACTCTCATGCCCTCACAAAATGGCTGCCTATGACCAGGCTGGCAGGGGGTTTAATGAGGGACAACCAAACGACTGAACAGCAGGCTACATGGGGTACCCCGGCCAGCAGGGTTGGGCAGTTGGAGGCAACCAGACCAGCAGGGGAAGCAGTTGGGGGTGATTAGGCTGGCAGGGGGTGGCAGTGAGGGGCAACTAGGCTGGTGGGAGGGGGGAGTTGGGAGCAAGCTGGCTGGCAGCAGTGGGGTAATTAGGGGCAACCAGGCAGGCAGGCAAATAAGTGATTAGGAGCCAGCAGTCCAGGATTGTGAGAGGGATGTCTGACTGCTGGGGATGGGCCCTAAACTGACAGTCGGACAAACCCCAAGGGGTCCCGGATTGGAGAGGGTACAGACTGAGCTGAGGGGATCCCCCTGGCTCAGTGCATGAATTTCATGCACCGGGCCTCTAGTTCTTTAATATAAATGCAATTACAATTATACTAACTCTTGGAGACACCTATGAGATTATCCATTTATTGACCTAGATACGCTGGAAATAAAGTTATGAAAGTGAAATAGTGAAACCAAAGACCTGTCAACCATTTCATAGGAAATGTTCTGTAATATATTAAACAGAAATCTATCTAGACTAAATTAATAAAACCCACAAGTCAATAAGAAAAATAACAACAGAAAAAGATGGCAAAGATTAAGGATAAGTAAGTTAAAAAAAAATCCAAATTTCCAATAACATTATTTCTGAAATGTGCATCCTTACTAGTTATCAGGCATATGCAAATTAAACTGAGATGCTGCTCCTCTCCCAGCATGGCACACATATTAAAGATGGATCATTCAGCCGAGACCGGTTTGGCTCAATGGATAGAGCGTCGGCTTGGGGACTGAAAGGTCCCGGGTTCGATTCCGGTCAAGGGCATGTACCTTGGTTGCGGGCATGTCCCCAGTAGGGGGTGTGCTAGAGGCAGCTGATCGATGACTCTCTCTCATCGATGTTTCTAACTCTCTATCTCTCTCCCTTCCTCTCTATACAAAATCAATAAAATATATATTTAAAAAAAAAAAAAAAAAAAAAAAAAAAAGATGGATCATTCAGCCGAGACTGGTTTGGCTCAGTGGATAGAGCGTTGGCTTGGGGACTGAAGGGACCCGGGTTCGATTCTGGTCAAGGGCATGTACCTTGGTTGCGGGCATATCCCCGGTGGGGGGTGTGCAGGAGGCAGCTGATCGATGACTCTCTCTCATCGATATTTCTAGCTCTCTAGCTCTCTCCCTTCCTCTCTGTACAAAATCAATAAAATGTATTTTTAAAAAGAAAAAATAAATAAATAAATAAATAAATAAATAAATAATAAAGATGGATCATTCACATTAGAGAGAATCCAGCGGGTAATGGGTTAAATGAGATAATCTGATCCACAAAAGGCAGCTATTTTGTGATAATGCATATTGGGCATTTGTATTTTATATTTTGTGACTTTCCTAGTGTGTAAATAGGTAAAACCATTCCAGGAAATAACTGGACAATATCTAGTAAAACTTTGAATCTAAAACAACAAAACCTTCAAATCTCATAGTCCACTGCCCGGCAACATTGCTTCTGGATATACTAGTATTCCTTAGAAAAATTTTCAAACTTATCTGTGTCCAAAGAAACATATATGAGATTGTTCACTGTCATACTGGGTATAATGGGGGGAAAAATAAGTGAAGGGAAAAAAAGTGTGGCCTCGCCTTAACTGGTTTGGCTCAGTGGATAGAGCATCAGCCTGCAGACTGAAGGGTCCCAGGTTGATTCCAGTCAAGGGCATGTACCTTGGTTGCGGGCACATCCCCAGTGCGGGGTGTGCCGGAGGCAGCTGACCGATGTTTCTCTCTCATCAATGTTTCTAATTCTCTATCCTTCTCCCTTCCTCTCTGAAAAAAATCAATAAAATATCTTTTTAAAAAGTATGGCCTCTTCAAAGAATGAACCAACACAAAGCGCCCATGTGGCTCAGTTGGTTGGAGCGTATTCCTGTACACCAAAAGGTTTCAGGTTCGATTGCCGGTCTGGACACATATCCAGGTTACAGGTATGATCCCAGTCAGGGTGCATACAGGAAGCCACTGATATCTCTCTCTCTCTCTCTCTCTCTCTCTCTCTCTCTCTCTCTCTCTCTCTCTCTCTCTCTCGGCTACTGTATGAATATATATATTCATACAGTAGCCATGAAGCATAATTAAACATTCACCATTTAGAGGGTGAGGGCTTCACATGTATCATCTTATTTAACCCACAAAATGACCCTCCGGGACAGTACTTCACTAATACTCGGCAGGTGAAGCAGCATGCCCAGGATGGCTTAGCAGATACCCAGAACCTGCCTTGATCACTACAAACCTGGAGTTTTAGCCATTGAGGTTTACAGGAGAGAGTAATCGACTGGCTGGCCCCCTTGCTGGGAAGGATGTGAGAAAGGAGGCCTTCTCATGTAGCCTCACTGGGGGTGCAAATTCCAACGGCTGGGCAATGGGTAGCTAAGGTGTTATCAATGTGCTAAGCTACTACCTGTAACCCCACTTTGGGAAGCACACACTAAGACCTCAGAAGTTCTAAAAGATGCTGTATGTCTCATAAATTCCTATGAAATGCACACAGGCAATCCTGGTAGCACTGTTTATGACCAGGGAACATTGCAATGTTAAGTCTTTCAGTAAGAAACTAGTCTGTGGCACATGTATGCAGGGGAACAGTATGAAGCTTTTTTTTTTTTTATGCTAAACTGTCTCTAAGGTAATTTATATACTGTGATCTCATTTAACTGAAAACCTGTACATGACTCAACATGTGTATATGGAGAGATGTTTTCCAAAATTTTAAGGGTTTATTTTTTATTGTGGGGACTCTGATGATTCTTCCCTTTAAAAAAAAAAAAAAAAAAAAAAAAAAAGTTGCTGAAACCGATTTGGCTCCGTGGATAGAGCGTCAGCCTGCGGACTGAAAGGTTCCCTGTTCGATTCCGGTAAATGGCATGTACCTTGGTTGCGGGCACATCCCCAGGAGGGGGTGTGCAAGAAGCAGCTGATGATTCTCTCTCATCAGTGTTTCTAACTCTCTATCCCTCTCTCTTCTTCTCTGTAAAAAAATCAATAAAATATATATTTGTTTAAAAAGTTTATTTGAGCCGAAACCAGTTTGGTTCAGTGGTAGAGCGTCAGTCTGCGGACTGAAAGGTCCCAGGTTCGATTCCGATCAAGGGCATGTACATTGGTTGCAGGCACATCCCCAGTTGGGGATGTGCAAGAGGCAGCTGGTCGATGTTTCTCTCTCATCGACGTTTCTAGCTCTCTCTCTCTCTCCCTTCCTTTCTGTAAAAAATCAATAAAATATATTTTTTAAAAATAAATAAAAAGTTTATTTGAGCCAAGCTGATGACATATGCCAGGCAGCAGGATCTCAACTGCTCCCTGATGATTCTCGCTTTCACTCTTTTGCTTTTCTGCGTTGTTCAGATCTTTTCTTACCTATCCTTTTTACCAATATATGAGAGCTTATTGAACATCAAAGATTTGTTAAGGTTTAAACGCAGAGGGCCTTGCACTCTGGATTAATAAGTAAACCTTCCTCCTGGGGTCTGTTACAAAACTAACTACTCGATACTCTCGCTGATGCCACCAGCATTCCTGAGGGAGACAGCAACCACTCCAGCACTATCCAGCTTCACCCACCTGTCCAGAGACCAGTCCTTTTCTCAGAAGAACCTCCAAACACCGGCTCTGTTCCGCACCTACTCAAGCCCACCTCGATCGCTCTCCTCTGCTTCTCACCCCCACCCCGCGCCCAAAGGGCTGGGGACAGGGAGCTGTGCCTGCACCTCCAGGGTCTCACACCTACAGGAACCCCCACCTCCCTCCCAGCTCGAGCCACTTCCCTTGGCTCCTTGGCGTCCAGTTCCCGCAGCTGGGAGATCCCTCATCCCTCTCGGAGCACCCCAGTGCCCACGGAGAACGCTTCTTGCCCGCCCCCGCGCCCCGGATTTGTGACAGGACCCGCTCCTCCCCCCGTCACCTCCACCCCCACCCCTACCCCCACAACCAGAACCGCCACTCGGTGCTTCCTGATCTGCGCAGGTCTCCATGCAGAGCCGAGACCCCTAGTCCACCCTGCTCATGCGGCCCCCCGACTATGGCAGGTCCCTGTCCAGGGCCCTTGGGGACCTCAGACCCTTTCCAGGCCTGTACACGTGCCACCCAGACTTCAGGGCATCCTCCCAGTCCCGGAACCTTCCCCCACGCCCTGACCTCCGCCCCGAGCCCCTTCCAGGCCCGGACCCCCCGCTGCCTTGCACTCACCCTCCCGGCAGCGCCGCCTCCAGATGGTGTCGTTGTGCAGGATGCGGCAGAACTTGGTGCAGACCTGGGCCAGGCTGGGCAGGTCCGTGCCGGGCAGCGAGGCGAAGATCTCCACCAGCAGCTCGGGAGGCAGCTCCAGCAGCGAGCAGCGCGGGGGCGGCGACGGGCTCGAGCTCCGGCCCCCCCACTCACCGCACAGCTCCGCCGCGCCCGCCTCGATGCGCTCCTCCTCCAGGTCCGTGTCCGGCTCGCTGTCGGCCGCCGCCGTCTCGGCCGGGTCCCGGCGCTGCTGGCGACGCCGACACCCCCGCGAAGGGCCCACGCCACACAGCCGAGCACACACCGCCATGCCTGTCGGAGTAACGGCCGCCGCCGCCAACGCCGCTGCAGCCGCCGCCGCCGGGCCTGCACCTGCCGCCGTCAGCCGGCCCCGCCCCGCAAGAGAGAGCAGCCGGGACCCCAAGCCTAATCCCGCCCATCAGAGCCCAGCCCCGCCCCCAGTCAGAAGATCTAGCCACGCCCCCGCTCCGTCTCGGCCCCGCCCCCACAGGGGACTGCAGAGGCCCCGCCCCGGAAGTCCCTCCCCGGAAGTCCCGCCTGCGGAGGTGGGAGATCCGCCAGGCCCTCTGCTAGAGGGCCGGAGACCCTTGGGCGGCTCTGTCTTCCACTCAACTGCGGTCTGAGGGCCTCCGACTCCCCTCGCGGAGCTTGCCCGGGAAAAGAAGATTACCCACCAACGCGCTACGGTCGCGGGCAGCAAAAGGGTGTGCTGCCGCGTTTGAGGACAGAATCCTAAGGATTCCCCGGAGGACATTCTCCCCCTTCCCCCGCCCACGACTCCGACGATCCTCCGAGAAACTCTTCCCCAGGACGGTCCAAAGAACCCCTTCCCATGAATCCCTCCGGGACCCTCTCTGAGGGCCCCACGGACCCCCCACTAGAACCGCTAGGACCTCCCCCTGAGGAGAGCTCCAAGGAGTGGCTCCCAGGATTCCCCAAGGACACCTTTCTCCCCAGGTCCCCCTCCCCCGCAAGGAAAGCTCCAAATGACCCCCAAGACTGCTGCTCACAGAAGGCGTGATAAGTGACAGGTGGAATCAAGGCCAACCGTTAAAGTTCTACGAAGCCAACTAGAACCCTAAATTGTGCCTCCCAGCTCTTTTATCTAAAAACTAACATTCACTTGTTTGTGCCCTTAATACAAAAAAAGGGAGAAATCACGCTAGGTGATAAATCCTGTGCCATTTGTCAGTGATCTTGTTACCTTGTTTACTGTGCTCCAGGGCACGTGTGTTCTAGAGACTGTAAAGCTAGCTCTTGACAGTAGCTTCACCTTAAATAACTCATAATAGGAAACCGTTATTGTCTTTAGAGATGAAAGCCAGCGGGGTACGGATCGTAGCAACTCTACAACTCCTTTCTGATCGAGACTTACTTCAATGCCCTGAAGTGCTGGAGGAGTTGCCCAGCATCTAAATGGAAGCTAAAAATCCTCTGGCAAATGCAGTGTTTCTGGGGTGGGGTCTTGCTTATCTAATAGAAAAGACTAATCTGCCAGTTTTCCTGAGCCCAACCTCCACAAATGCCTAGCTATCCACCACCACCTCCATAAGGATATCTCTAAGCAGAAAAGAGGGCAGTCTACCTAGTCCACAGAATCCCATAAATGGGGAAGTGCATCTTTTGACAAAAAATAGCAGTGCCTTAGTTCAAATTTTTACCATCTCAGGTCTACACAATTGAAAAACAACACCTTGGTCAGAAATAACACGGGTAAGCTGCTATATCCTTTCATCATCCGCACAGGATGTCCCATTCATTCTCCACGATGGTGACCTTAGTTTTGATACCACAAGTTGTGATAGAGGAGAGAGTTTTGCACAGAGACCTGCGTCCTCTCCCCTCACCCCACAGGCCAGACACACAATCTTGGGGTGGGCCTGGGGCTCCACTCCTGAGCCCTGTCTTAAGAATGCCACTGCCGAAACTGGTTTGGCTCAGTGGATGGCTTGGGGACTGAAGGGTCCTGGGTTCGATTCCGGTCAGGGGCATGTACCTTGGTTGCGGGCATACCCCGGGTAGGGGGTGTGCAGGAGGAGGCTGATCGATCACTCTCATCGATGTTTCTATCTCTCTCCCTTCCTCTCTGTACAAAATCAATAAAATATATTTTAAAAATAAAAAATAAAATAAAGAATGCCACTGTCAAACTATGAACCAGATGTCATGATTCAGTTCCCAGTCAGAGCATATGCCCAGATTGCGGGCTCAGAAGGAGACAGCCGATTGATGATTCTCTCTCAACATTGATATCTTTCTCTCTCTCCCTTCTAAATCAATTAAAAAAATATACATTATTTATATATATATTAAGTAATGTTATTTTTCATATATTTAATATATATATATGAAAAAAATAACACCAAATTGACCTGCATCTAGAAGGTTTTTCCATCCATCCTCTGTAGTTGTCAGAACTGGCTTCCTTCAAACAGTAACATAAGTAAAAGCAGACTCATCCCATCACTCACCTATTTAAAAGTACTTAGTGGGCCCATTGACTCCTATTACATCACACACTATCTGGTCCTATCCTCCCAGCCTAGCCTCCTCATTCCCCACACACATCTTTCAACCAGTGCCACCAGATTCCTTAGCCAAAACTCACCATGTCTTATCACATCTCTGTCACTGCTCAAGCTGTCTCCTCCGCCAGGAAGTCCCATCTCCCCAGTCTATGCCATTAAATCCAACCCCCTTCCTTCTTGTCTTCTACTGGTACCTCTTCTAGGAAGAATGATTCCTTTATTACAGCACCATCATATTGTTTTATTATAAACACTTGCTTCCTTTGGCTTTACTAGATGTAACCCTCACAACATGACAGATGTACTAACCTTTTGTTAACGAAAAAAACCATTGAAACCTGTAAAGAATTTTGTAATGAGTTTATTTGAGCCAAAAATGTCGACAATTGCCGGGAAGCAAAACCTCAACAGATTGAGATAGTGCTCCGAAGAATGGTGGATTACATTTCTCTATTTATACACCGAAATCAAAGGAGGGACATAGGTGGGTTACATGAAATTCATTGGTGATGGAGTAAGGAGGTGGGAGAAAGCAAAGCGGTGGGAAACTCCTGGGATTGGATAAAAGTAAAATGATGAATGTATACTCAGGTGAGTGCAGGAACAATTAACATGATAAAGAAGGAATTTGAGGCATCTGCCCACCACATTTGGTTGTTCCCCAGGGGCTCCAGAAAAAGGGAAGTTACAAGTTACCCAGACGTCTCACAGATATGTTATCTTAGATGCAGGAAGGCAGAGGGGCTCAGTAAAAGATCAAAGTTGATCTTTGTCAGGTGAAATCTCTGGGACATGACTACCTACTATAACCTGTTAGATATTTAATTTTCAGACCATCTCTTGTGGTTATCTTAGGTCTCTGGGTTTGCAAAACTGCCACACAGGCCTTCCCTGAGCTTGTCAGGTTAGCTTGTGGCTCTTTTCTTTCACACCTTCATGCAATCAATGAATGTTCACTGACTAAATGTTTGTTGAATTAAAAAAAATAGCAAACAAATAAACTGGCTAAACAATTAAACAGGGAGGAATGTGAACCAAATAGACATAGAAAAGACTTTTGGGCTATCATCCTCACCATCACTATCCAAGCTAGGAAATATCTCAGCAATGTACCAAATAATACAATAAAATTTTTTGGAATGCCTGACTAGCCTATGTGCTATGTTCTGTGTGGATCCATAGATTCTAAAGCATGATCCTTGCCACTGTTACATCTCAGTCAGTTTTAAAGGAATATATCTATATCCTACTAAGCCCTATTAATAAAATATATTTTTCTTCTAGGAGAGCTAGGAGTATATTAAAATGTACAAATTTAGTTTGCTCAATTTCGTCTTTAATAGAATGGTTAAACTATTCTGTGTCCATAATTTGAATTATACAAGTAAAAGCTACAGCTATATATCCTTTACACCAGGAAGGCTGTGTACAATAATGCATAAAGATGTTGGAAGATTGAACTGATGCAGACTACCAGAACAGAAAGAAAAAGACAGCTGTGAGAGCTTGGGTAATCCATGTTGGTGTAAAGGAGCCAGAAGGGAAAGACTTTGAATATAGCAGAGAATTTTCATATGTTGAATGCTGAAAGCATTTTATGTCTTTGAACAATTTTACAATCCCTCATACAGAACTTGTATCCTTTACAAAGAACACTAAGCAGGGTCATACTTATAAAAGGAAAACCTAGATAGAAGAGATTATTTGTTTTAATATTACAACAATGAACTCTTTGTTAGTGAGAACTGATAACATCTAAGGAAATAAGTAGAATACAGGGCAGGGCATTTTTCAATTGGTTGCCTGGAAAGTCACTGAAAGTAGTAAACCATGTTAACTTGATGCATGCTGTTAGATGTGAAAAATGTCATCTTATCCATTGCCCAGCACAGTCTGGGTGATGGGAAAACATTCATAGGCCAAACAAGAAGTTCATGGTTTAAAACAAAAGTCTGAACAGCTGCATCCCTTAACAGTTGCATATACTATATGGGCAAAAGCCGGAAAAACAATCCATTGTATTTAGAATTAAACAAGCAAACAACAACAACAGCCAAACCTTTGGAATGTTCCCCAGTTCCATCCGTTGTTATCCACTCATTTAAGAAATAATGTTAGGTTATCTGAATGATTTACCATGGCTTTCCTGTTCGCACTAGTCTGTTGATTTCTAAAGTTGAACCCCCGAGGCACAGGAAGCATTCTAATACAGTGCCTCTTTCGCAAAACCTCCCAAGAACCAGCGAAGACACTCCCACAGTCTGCACCTATTGGGTGTCAACTGCAAAATCTTCCTGGCTGAATTCTTTCTGAGAATAGCTCAGGCACTCCTCTTGAGCAATACTTGTTTGTTTACTTGTTCTAAAGAGCAAAGCGATGACACAGGACAGATTGGACAACTGGCCAATAGTGTCCCAGAGGACTTCCAGGGTGGAGTATGTCTTCCAATCAGAAAGAGGAGAGGCGGTACAGGCCCGAGGAGATGAACTACTTCTCAGTGTGACTTGCCCTCCATATTGAGTGTGGCAAAAATAACTCTAATGTGTTTTAGAGCAGGTTAATGTTTTGCGCCCCATTTGACAGATTCTTAGAAATAGCTAGCATGATTTACAGCTGCGTTACATCAGTAATGCCGTGATATCATTCAATTTTTACCGGTTAAATTATTTCCCCCATGATTATGGTCATTTAATATTATGGAAAAAGGAATAAAGTGAGAGTTATTTAAAACTAATACTGCTTGGCTTTCTACAATGATTAT